CTGCAAGTGCCGAATGACATGATCAAGAACAAACATTTACAATGATATAAAACCATGTCAACTCCTGTAAGCAGGAGGGGCCAACCACCTCTCGCCTGGAGTCTCCAATCCTATTCAGTAAAGTAGCTGAACACCGCCTATTTACAAACATTAACGACGAGCAATGTATCACTTAATTCAATAAAAATGATATACCGCAAGTGTCAACTTCATACTTACCAACAACCTGCTTAATGGTTTTCTGGGTATGTAAGAACAAGGGGCTAAACAGTAACTCCGTGTAAACCGGTGGGACTGAAAAACGCTAATTCGAATACAAACAGGGAACATTAATGGGAGTTTCTGTGCCCATTATAATTCAGACAAACAAGGTTTGGCTCCCTGTTATCTGGGGGGGGGGAGAGATCTTACAATCACCACTTTTAATCTACTATCGAAATGGCTTTTTGTTCTATTCCCTTGTTCTGGTAATGCTTTGACCGTTAAAGCTTTTCTGAAAACGAATCAACGCTGCTGACATCTGCAGCTCGAAAACTGCATTTATATACACTACCAAGAGTGCTCGCGCATTGGTAGTGGTGGTGGTGAAACCCGTCTCTGACCCAGAAATAATTACTCAGCTAGTAGCTTGTACATACAAGTTCTATTATGCTCTTATCTTTGTTACAAAAATGTCACAGTGCAAACGAGTTTCTACGTGTGTGGATGGCTGTGTGCAAAACGGTAGTGTTAAAGTCGACATCAGACTCCACTTGCTTACAGCGCAAGAAATATGATACGCATAGTGCACAGTACCTGCAGCTCTTTTACGACTGTTTGTCGGTAGCTCGACGACGTTGTGCCTTACAGGATGATAATCGGGAACGGTCTTCGACAACACTTTACTCAAATCCACCTAAAACACGTGCATGCCAGATGATCATTCAAAATACCTTAAATTCTTACGTCTAAAGCCGAAAAACCTGGGTAATGGGTGGTTTTCGCCGCGTCCTTCGACAAGTCGCACTTCCCTTCCACTTGTTTCACTCTGTCGACCGAACGCTTAAGCGGCTTCACGGTCTTCTTTTGACCACGTTGCACAACGACATCATCGGCAGAGAGCAGCGCATTCTCAAAACTACTACAGTCAGAAGTGAATTTGGCACTTTCGGCAGCTGCTCTGCTCACAGATTTTTTTGCCAATTTTGGCTTTCTATCATTTGACTTCAATTCGACGTTATTATTGCGCCTATTGCGTTGGCTGTCATTCAAACACAAGTTTTTTCCGTCGACTTTGGGTTTATCGCGTTTCGTTGCAGGGGCGATATCACAGGTCTCTTTGCACTCTGAAGACGGCAACTCTCTTTCCACATATGTATCCACGTCGCTAGATGCCAATTTTGCACTTGCGGCAGCTTCAATAACGATTCCACTGGCCCTTGCCGACTCGTATGCGTCTTCTTTCCATTTGGCAACGACGCGCTTAGCAAGAGGCCCCAGAAGGTCGTCATGTCTGAAACTGTTCACCAACTTGCCGATTTTTGTCTCCTACACGCAAAAATTACTTTAAGTTTAATCAAGGAAAACAAAGCAGCTTCAATCAAAGAAAAAAATTTCAGACCATTTCTCGGAAACAAAAAAGAAAATTGCACGCATGTTACAAACGGCTGAAGAAAACTGTCATCTTAACAAGAATCAGTCAACTTACTCCTAAAAGCATTTCAATTCAGTGACTGCACCCATTCTAAAAACTGAACAATAGTCGAGTTAATTTCCTAGCAAGCAGTGATGAAATGGACAGCGAGTCTAGCTCATAACCTGCTAGACAACTTGAAGCTAACAAATCCGTGGAACCAGCAATAAACAAAAGGTAAGGAAAGTTTCATGTTGTATACTAGAAGGTTCATTCTTTGTTCGGCAAAGTTTGGCAAGTGGTAGGAAAGTTCGATGACAGCCGAAAAGCCAGAAGGTACAAACTCTACGCATTTGCGGTTACGGAACCTCGCATTCGTGGGAAGGGAACGCTTGGTGCATTCACGATAGGTGGCAAAGCAG